AGGTGAGTTGTAAATTATCACTAGTCAGATGTGGAGTTAAATAAAAACCTGCCTGGCAGAGATGGAGGAAGGTTTGCTGGGGAAACCCTCATTCTCTATAGATTCTGGAGGAAGACTAACTGGTCAGACAGGGCTAGCTCAGGCTATGGGAATCTTACCATGTAGATCAGGCTACCCTCAAGCTTACAACAGCCCTCCTACTTGAGTGTTCTCAGTGTTGGAATTCCAGTTCCTCACCACCACGTTCAGCTGAAGGTTCTATTGTCCCTGTTTTTGAGTCACTGGAAGAAGACACCACCCGACATGTCTATTTTGTGTAGTCTGGAGTGCTGCTCTGAGTTTCTTTCCTCTAGGTAGAGATTTTCCGGTAACACCCATGCCCAGCTGTCACTTAGATAATAGGTTCTGCCTCATACACATTTCCTGGTTCTTGTTTCCTATCAAGACTGCCGCCCTCTCCCCTTTTGGGGCAATGGGGCCACCCCCCAGTAACCCAAGCTTTTCCCTCCCTATCTGCATGCTTCTTTAGCCATTTCTCTGCAAATATCTTCCTCACCCCCCTCCTCCACACCCCCACAAGCTGTTGCTCCACCCACATCCTTCCTCCAGGGACACTTCTCCTGTCTACCTCTCCCCCATCCACACCTGAAGTTAACAGCTCCCTGCTTCCTGCTGTCCCTCCCTGAAGTGAAGCATAGGAGCAGGACACAGTAGGTGAAAGGTGAGTGGAGATGACCCAGCTTCCAGGTAGGAAAGGTCATAGCCAACGTCTGGGTCATAGTCCCAAGAGTGTTGGGACTACACTCTTCCATTCTTCTTACTTTTACTTCAGCCACCAAGGTCTGTACCAGCCTCATGGTTTCCTGAGCAGACTACTGAGCAGGTCTCCCAGGAATCTTCTTTAGATTCCTTCCGTGTTAACCATCTGCTGGGTTGAATAGTAACCTCCAAATGTACACTTCCCCAGACTTTGCGAACAGTATTGCATTAGGAAATAGCTGGTGTGGCTTGTTTTCATTTTCTGATGATTAGTTGAAATGAGATTGCCTTAATCACACTTCTCTAGAGGGACAGACCTCATAGAATAAGCCTTGTGAAATGGCTGGCTGTGTGCTGGAGAGGCTGAGAGCCTAGTTGGTGCTCAGTCTACACAGCTAAACACCTCAGCAGTCCTCATCTGCTGATGAAGACCTGTAGGACTCCTGGAGAAATCTTCAGTCTACACTGAAGGCCTAAGAAAGTGGCTTCTAGCATCAGTGAGCAGTCAGGAACAGAAACAGTGGGATAGACTCACTGGCCAGCCAGAAGCAAAAAAGGCGCAGGGAAAGTCTTCTTCTGGCAGATAATTATTGGAAACACATCACAGATGGAATCAGAGGCTGTCTCTTAGTTGAGTTCGGATCCAGTCGAGTGAGCAATCACAATTAACCACCACAGATAGGGCCAGCAAGCTGGCTCAGCAGGTAAAGGCAGATGTCACTTGATGCAAGTTTGTCAACTAGAATTCCATCTGCAGAACCTATACAAAGATGGAAGGAGACAATTGGCTCTACAAAGTTGTCCTCTGGGGCCAGAGAGACCCACGTCAGGCAGCTCACAAATATTTGTAACTCTGGCTCCAAGGGATCTGGCACCCTTTTTGAGTTTGAGTTCCCTTAGGTGCTTGGACACATGAAGCACACACACACACACACACACACACACATGCACACACACACACACACACACACACACACACACACACACAGAGGACCATATATAAAAACTGTCCCTTGACTACATACAATCACTGTAGTAGATGTGCCCACACACATAGCATATATGCACATACACATACATGTAAGAATCATCACATAACTATAATAGAAGTCATTCTGAAAGAACACTTAAGAAGAGGAGACCCAGAGTCAGAGGGAAGGACAGCAAGGACCATCAGTAGCACCAGACCCCAGCAAAGTTTCCCAAGGAGTAGGCCCCATTTTGTGCCTTGACACTTGCCTCAGTTCTCTGGAACTGAGGGACAATAGCCTTGGTGCCTTTATTTCCCACCAGATTGTGAGACTTGGTTGGGGTTGTTTTAGCAAGCTCATCTAAGTCAGGAGCCAAGAGACATTACTACCTTCCTGGGGACCAAATGCCACTTCTTCATTTATGCTCGAAATATTTACTCTGTGCTTGGAAGAGAAGCCTCTGTTTTGCCCAGTTTAAGCTCAGTTTTCTTTCACAGATTTCTTAGTGACTCACAGTTGTTCATCACAGAGAACAGGGTCATTTTCCTAGAACCCAAGATAGAAAGGAACGTATACAAGACACCAGAGATCTCCACATTTTTTCCCAGGAGACCAGCTAGCCCTGGGGTCTCTCCCAATCCCAGTACACAACAGACTACAAGAAAGAAAATCAGAAATAGATGAGTCTTGTAGCCATCTAGAAATCTAAGGTGTTGCCCAATAGAAATTTCCAGTGCCCATTAATCTAGAAAATCTAATCTCGCCCTGTGCGGGGCTGGCAGCCTATGTGTATTTGCTAAGTAAATCCAATTCTCTTGCTGACCAGTGAGAAAGAGGACTCATTCCAACAGCTCAGTGCAGTGAGAACCACTTTCAGCTCAACAGACTCTGCTGCCTCAGCTGGCCTGGGCTGGGGAGGTGGGTGTCCAGGCAGGGCTCAGCTCCCTGGTGGGTGACCTAAGTTGAGAGCAAGCCTCTACCGTCCTGGGAGTGCCTCTACAACGGCATTAGGGAAGTCTCTTACCTATGCTTTTGTGTTGTAGCCACACATATTTGCTTCCCCCAATACTCAATGGACCAATCAATTGTATGAGGAACGGAAATGACGGCTGTTTTGGCATAGGGCAACTTACAGTATGTTGAATTTCAAATGGCCCTTACTCAGAACATTCCCAAGGTGATTTGGATATGGCGTTAGAAGGTCCCTGCTATGAAAATTCTACACCAGGGTCCAGGGGTTCCTCCTACCTCTGCTCTTCTCTCTTCCACTCTCCTGACCCTGTTTTCTTACTGTTGTTGTTTTGAGGCACGGTTTTCCTACATAGCCCATACTGGTCTTGGCAATCCCCCTGCTGTAACCTCCTGAGGGCTGGAATCGCAGGTGGTGCCACCATGGCCCAGCTTGTCCAGCTGAGAATTTAGTGCTGCAGGTTGCCTAGAAGGTCTGGCTTCCTCCACACAGACTCAGCTCCCACACGCAACATACTCAAGACTTCAGCTGCAGGTCTGGGCTGTTCTACATGCTTTGTCTTAAATGAAGACTTCCTCAAATGGACAGGAAATGGCTTCTACTGGCAAAATGCCTTCCTTCAGTCCACACTGATGCTACATTTCCCATTGCTGGGAAGGTCGACAACACTACCAGCATTTCAAATGGGACAGGCACTGACAGGGAGCAAACTGTCAGTACTCAATAAATGTTTGTTGAAAGACAAAACAGAAGATTCTGGGGAAATGGTTGTTAGTGGGGTTTGTTAACCAGTAGGATGGTTCCCAAGGATGCCAGTGTTCACTCTCATGGCCCTAGGGTCCAGGCCGTTCTTGAATATAGTAGGTGCTTAGTACAGCTACATACTGAATAATCTCAGGTTAGCCATCTCCTACCGATGTCCTGGGACACTGAAACCTTAGGGCTCAATTTTGCTATACTCTCAAAACAAAGGGCTTTCCTTTTTTTAGTTCTTGTCCAGTGCCTTTGCACAGGCCAGGTTAAAAAAGCAGCTTCCTAGATATTCCTAGACCAACAAAATGAGGGCCAGGGTATCTAGAGCAAAGAGGAGTGTGGGTACTGGGCTTTGAGGTTATGGTTTAGTAGGAGTGGGAGAAGGTCACTTGGGACAGAGAGGTTGAACAGGTGACCTTGAGACAATGACTAGACTGGGCCTAGTTGTGACTCAGTCTCTCTATTCACAATGTTTTCTCGGTGCTGGGTGCTGAGGTTCTCAATGGGGTTTCATATTAGAGCCAATCGGGTAGTATTTGTTTATTTAGTAGGGATGGGGAATGTGGGTTCTGAGGAAAACATATGGTAGTGGGTTCTCTTCTTTTACATTTTAGTTTCTGGGCATGGAATTTAGGTTCTCAGGTTTGCCAGGCAAGCACCTTCACCATGTGAGCCATCATTGCACCCATTGCGGAGCTTTTTAAAAAAGCCCCAGTGTTGGTGAACACTCCCCAAGACTCTGACTAAGCTGCTCTGAGGTGTAGCCAGATATCCACCTGCTTAAGAAAGGCCTCTCTAGAGAGTCTCAAGTCTCCCAAGAGAGTCTCTGGTGGAGGTCAGGGCTGAAAATCTGATAACAGGCAGGTCAAGGATTTTTTAGAACAGCACCAAAGCCAGGGCCGGTCATGGTTGAAAAGGTTGAAACTCTGCAAGTTCTGGTGACCACGAAGGCAGCCTGTAGAGTTCTCACTGCTGACCATGCAGGTTGGTGTAGCAGGGAGACCGCCACTGGGGACCGGTTGCTGCGTATAGAATTGGAAAGGGCTCAGTCGTGGGCAGCCAGGATCCTAGAGAATAAAGAGAGCTTAGGCTACGCGGGGAAGGAACCTGGAGAGAAAGTCTGGAGCCTTGGCTGTAAATGGGGCTCCTGAGTGACTACGTGGAGACCCGCAGGAAGTGGATGTGCCGCCCAGTAGGGCGTGGCGCCGACATAAAGCTTAGGAAACTCCAAGAAGGCGAAGGGGGCCACGCGGCCGCGCAGAGATACAAGGAAGCCCGCAGGCACACGCACGAGCGCGCACGGGAACACACACAACCACTCGGTGCACACACGTCCGCAGCGCACGCCGCGTCCCCTAGAGGGGATTGCAGGGAGGAGCCAGAGCCCGGGCCTGGCAGTCCCTCCCGCCGCGCCCCTGCAAAGGCTTGCGCAACAGGCGGCGGCTCCAGCCCGCCCAGCCCAGCCCAGGCTGGGTGCAGTGTGGGGCGAGCCCGGGAAAGGGGTGTGTCCCCCCGCTGCGCAGGGAGCCGAGGGTCGGGGAGGGGCAAGGCCCTGAGGGCGGGGCCCCGGCGCCTATAAATTCGCCCTACGCCCTGACATAAACAAATCTTGCCAGGCCAACATCTACCGCGGTTGATTGCTCGCTCACTCATCCTCGCCTCTCTCTTCACCTCCCGCTGGGCACCTCGCCGCCAACCTTGTTGGCATCTTTCCGTGCTCGTTCATTAGGTAAGCCCCCCCCCCCCCCGCCCCGTATGCCTTTTTCCTCCGGGGCACAACAAGGACCCTCAGGAGGCTTGTCTTCGAGGTGCTGTTAGACTCCCCGTCTGCCTTGGTGGCCCTTGCGAGGACCTCATGGCTCCAGCGCGGGAGAGGGACTCTTGGCATCACTGGAGGGCGTTTCGATTACTATAAGAGGGAAAAACATGTTCTGTCTCGCTTCTTTCTAACTGGGGACAGGGGTCGAAATTGGAGCGGAGAGCCTAGGAACACCTGGGTCCTTCTTCCTGGCGTCACCCCCAAGTCACAGCTGACTCTTCTGTCCAGTAGGCTCATGGGAACACCTTGTGTGTTGAGAGTGTGAAGGGGTGTGGATGGGTGTTGGGATGGCCAGGGAAAGAGTGACTGACTGTACAGCGTGTTCCCGCGGGGTGAGTAGTGTTGGGGCCCGGGGAGGGGGGATTCTGCCGAAGGGGGCAAGGATATGTCTGCTTCGGAGCCTGGTCCCGAACCAGTGTGATCTGAGCCCAGGTTCCCATCCCGTCGCAGAACCGCGTGCTTTTCAAGCTGTGCGTGTGAGAGAACGTGTGTGTGCTGGGGGAGAGTCCGGGGTGTGTCCCGGCGCGTGCTGCACGCGCCAAAGCGAGTGTCCGCGGCGAGCGCTGCACGGGCAGGGTGAGGCCCTCTAGGTATTCCGGGGTTGGCGCTGTGGCTGGTGCCGCAGGGTCGCTTGGGCACTTGGCAGCCCCCAAGTCGGCTGAAGCTCCGAAGCTCCGAGTGCCGTCATTTTCGCCTACACCCCCTCCCCTTTCTTTCTCTTAGGCAGTTCTCCCTGCTGTTCTAGCCCGGAGTGCAGCTGGAACTGCTCGTCCGTTCCCGGGGGACCCTTCGCGGTTTCTGATTCAGCCTGTTGGGGGAGATTCGGGAGGGGCGTGCGGAATGCTGCAGACTCGGGGGGGAAACACGCTGTCACCGCCTCTCTCAAATTAGCTGAAACTGGGATTCATAGATAGCTTCCTTACTCTGCCACCTTCCCTCTTCCCTATCGGTCGCCCCTGCTGGCAGTTGTCACAGATCCCCAAAGCACCACCCCTTGGGCTTGAAAGAGGGAAGTCCAGTGGTCCATGTCCTAGAACAGCCTTCAGCTCTTCCTCACAGGTTTCCTGGGCATGCCAGACTGTTAGTGTTCTTTAAGCTCCTGTAGAAGGTGGGAAATTCAGCTCGCCAATGTACTACCTCCAAGTGAACTGATGGGTGAAATGAGTTTCAAGGCAAATCTTTCAGGTTGTTTTTTCCAGTTAAAAATCCTAGCATTTTTTAAGCCCAGCACTCGGGAGGCAGAGGCAGGCGGATCTCTGTGAGTTCGAGACCAGCCTGGTCTACAAGAGCTAGTTCCAGGATAGGCTCCAAAACCACAGAGAAACCCTGTCTCAAAAAAAACCAAAAAAAAAAAAAAAATCCTAGCATTTTGTTAGTTTCAACTTCTCGGGCAGTGGCGGGGAAGGGACAGACCACTGTTGGTGTGTGGGGTAGGTGGCTCAACCAGATCCAGGCCAGGATGGGTACTAAATGGGGGGGGGGGGGCTAAGAAAGGTGTGAGGGAGACTTTTCAGGAAGGGCTGGAGAAGCTTCAAGGGGTGGAGCTTTATAGTTGATGATGTCAGGGAGTTAATCCTACCTGTACCTTCTTTGCTTGGTGGGGCTTGGTTTCCCAGTAGCCAGTAGCACCAGGTACTTGGGTAAGGATGCTTGCTACCCCTAGGACAGTAGCCTGGCTCACAGGAAGGGTTCACACATACATTAAAAATGACTGGGACAACCCTGCCTTCTGCTCTGACTTCCTTTGGTCCCAGGTAGGCGTCTGATGCAATCCTATGCCTGAAGGAATTGCTTGGTTCCTGTAGGGTCTCCTGCCCTGGCAAGCTTTCTCCCGGTGAAGGCAAACCAGAGATGGCTAACCACTGACTGGCTGGATTGTTTAGACTTCCTTAGTCCAACCAAGCTCATTCATCATCCTATCCCATCTCTTGCCGCTTTAGAGATGTGACCTGAGGTCAGAGATCAGTGTCGGTGTCAGCGTGAGCCAGAACTGCATCCAGGGTCCCTTCTCAGAGGTCTCTTGGTTGGCACGGAACATGATTTTTTGCCTGTATGCTGCAGAATGCGAATGAAAATTTCTCTTTTTACTAAGTTTCAGGTGAGGCCACCTGGAGGGAAAGGCACAGTAGAAGTGGTTTTTGTTTTTGTTTTGATTGTTTTCTTTATAAGCATTTAAATCAGGTGCTGAGGTTGAAGCCAAGTCAGTTTAGTGAAGACGAGAAAAGGGTCAGAGTGAGCTGATGGGTGCTTTTCTGGTGGCTTTCTGAGTTCACTGCCCCTTCCCCAACAGTGCTGGGGCCCCCGGGTACATTGACTCCTGGTGGCCTGAGCTCATCCCAGCAGAGAGCAGAAAGGCCGTGTGTTTTTTCTGATGTCCCCACAGCTGCAGGGCTTCCCTTAAGACCTAGTTTCAGAGGAGCCATTTAAGGTAGGCCTCAAAGGTCTTGTGGCTTTGGAGCTAAGCCACCATGATAACTAGCATCCTTGGATCTAGCCAGAGCAGGGAGAATACAGGCTAGGAAGGAAGTTTGGGATGGGATGGACAGAGTATCCTGGGGTCCCTTTAGTTCTTCCAGTCTCCACAGAGATACTGCCTATGCTGTATTATTGAGTCGATGTGGAACCCAAAGGCTTGTGTGAAGCTATGTGTTTAAAAATGGGAGAACCAGACTGAATGAACCCTTTGAGTCAGTCCTCAAAAATATGTGTTCTAGCCTAACAATATGTGTGTGTGTGTGTGTGTGTGTGTAAATATCTCCAGGTCCCTGGTGAGAGCAGGGCAGAATGAAACACGCAGGAGCTTTGTGCCTTAGGTTTCCCCTTCTATAAAGGGAGAATAACCCAAACAATCTCATCTGGCTGTGTAGAAGTTGGTTAGGCTAATTTGTGTGAAGTGAGGCCAGGGCTCAGCACATGGGGGGCGGGCACTGTGTGGATGTTTCCCATAACAACTGCAAAGGGCACTAAAGAGCCACCTCCTTGACAATGGGTCTGGATCACTGTTTGTTATAACCCTAGCCAGGTCTAAGTACTCCCAATGGACCCAGACTTTTCTTTTTGAGAGTCTTCAAAAAGCTAAACAATAGGATTAGGTTGAAGGTACTAGGCACTGCCCCCAGGAGCATTTTGCTCCAGGAGGCTGGAGGAGGCCATACCTGTCACGCCTTCTTGCCTCCCTGGGTCTGGGAATTCATAGTTGCTCAATTCCTAGTCCCTTGCCTACCTAGGTTGCCTTGTGGTCTAGCATATTGGCTCAGGCAATTGAGTAGGAGAATCTTAATTCCCAGGTTAGAAAACAGGTTGGGCACTTCTTCAAAACCAGGTGAGTGGATCTGGGCCAAATGCATTCACCCCTGGCCACGTTCACACCCTACCCCTGCCCCTCAGGCCACAGAGAGCCTCTGGGGTGGGTGGTCAACCTGGTTGGACACACTGCAGGCCCTGAGGCCTTCTTGGTCACTTCCGATTCTAGGCTAGCCCTTCTCACTTGCTCTTTCTCTTCTTGGGAAATGGAGCTGCTAAACCTGGCCACCAGTTGTTTTATTGGAAGGGGGTTTGTAGAGATGCAGATGGGAGCACTGTGGTCCCACAGGAGGTCAACTTCAGAGGTGGAGGACAGCATTTGGGTTTAGGTGTTGGCATGGAACTTAATTGTCTAGGGTGGGGAGAGCTCAAGCCCTTAAGGAGAACACGAGGAAGTCTGCCTTGGCACCCCAGAATAAGAACATGCTTATTAACATACAAAATGAGGCCCACAAACAGCCTCTTTGGACCGAGAGTTTCTTATTTTTTTATCTGTTTTGTAGACCTGTGTGCCCACTGCCTACCCCTGGACTGTCCAGGACTGCCGGTCTAGCCAGCCCTTCCCTACCCAAGGGGGCCAAAGAAAGGCTCATGAACCTGGGGACTTGCAGTTCATGTTCTGTTTGTTTGTTTTGTTGTTGTTGTTGTTTCTTTGTTTGTTTTTGTTTTAATTTTTTCTAGAGAGGGTTTCTCTGTGTAACAGCTTCTGGTTGTCCTGGAACCTGCTTTGTAGACCAGGCTGGCCTAAAACTTACAGATATTCTCCTGCCTCTGCCTCCTGAGTACTGGGATTAAAGAAGTGTATCACCACTGCCTAAAGCAGTTGATTTTTAAAAAATAGGTTCACTCTTTCCTTAAATCTGAAAAAACCGTTAAGCCTTCCTCAGCTAGCCAGCCTCTGCCCTTCCTTCCAGACCCTCCCATGGCTCCCACCCTGCTCCCATTTGTCCTGTGGGACCACACTGTCCTGTCGTCTCTGCTCTCCCATGCCCCCTCCCAGGGCCCGAGAGCCTGGCACTCACTGAATACTCTCTCCGTGTGCATCCGAAGGAAATCTCCACTGATGAGGGCAATAAACCAGCCTATCCGTACAGGAAAAACTACAAGGGACTGTTATGGAGTGTGGAAGTGATAGAGCCGTTTGGGGGAAGGATCTCATTAGGGAGGGTGACCAGCATGCTGTCTGATCTTGGGGACAAAGGGCTCGGTATGAGGATCCATTTCCGTCCTAGGCTAACACTGGCTCTGTGATGGCAATAAAGTGTCTCAGCCCTGCCAGCACAGCTTACACCCATCCCACGGATTCACAGAATAGTCCTCTAGTGCGACCAATGTCCTTCTTCGGACTTCCAGTTACTGGCTTATGCCTCAGACAGCCGTCTGCCAAGCCACTAACTGCCAGAACTCCAGTGCCAAGACACCACTGAGCACTGTGGGAAGATCGTGGCGGGCAGGTTCCAGGCACTCGCTCTTCCTACTGTTCTGTTCTAGCCCGCCCTCTACTCTGCCCTCCCTCACTGCTCGTTGCTCCATTACTCTGATTGAACACGCGTGTGCGCACACACCCTTTCAGCAGGTAGTGCACTCCTGCTTGGGATAAAGAGGCC